ACGTAGATGATATGCTAATAGCCCATCGGAATCAGTTGATATTTGCAACTATCATGAGTCAAATTAAGGCACGCTATCGCATAACTGACCTGGGACCAGTGAAGCGTTTTCTGGGTTTGGAAATCTCACGGCTCTCTACAGGAGAATATCGACTTAGCCAGGCTAAGTATATCAACACAGTTCTTCTCCGTTTTGGGCTTGCTTCTGCCAATCAAGTCTCTACCCCATTAGCAAGAGATACTTGGCTAGATTCTCCGGCTATAAAACAAGATAATACTGTTGATCAGAAACTATACTTACATATTATTGGATCTCTAATGTATATATCACTAGGAACTCGTCCCGATATTACCTTTGCTGTCACCAAGCTCAGCCAATATAATCAGGAGCCACGCAGTACTCACCTCATGGCAGCAAAGCGCGTACTTCGATACTTGAAGGGAACTCAGAATCTTAGCCTAGTGTTTCGCAAGAAAAATCACCCCACTACCCCTTATATGCATCAGCTTCTTGCCTATACTGACGCAGATTGGGCTGGTAATCCACTAGATCGGAAGTCCATTAGTGGATATATCTTTTTTCTTGGAGGCCCAATTTCTTAGAAATCAAAGCGACAGTCAATTATTGCGACCTCAACTATAGAGGCCGAGCTTACTGCCTTTCTGGAAGTATCAAAGCAGGCTTTATGGCTACGTCAGCTTCTTGATAATATTAACTACAATCCTCAAGACCCTAATACAGTTCAATACCCATCTGTCAGTAAATTGAAGCGGACCGACAGTTATGCTTCCCCATCCCCACCCTACTTGGCAAGCTCACATGGCTGTATTCCTGTTTTTAGTGATAGTCAGCAGGCAATTGCTAATGTTAAAGGCGATGGAATAACGGCTCAAAATAAACACTTTGATATCAGGCTTCTTAAGTCACGCAAACTACAACACCACGGAATCCTCGAGTTTAACTTCGTCGCAAGTGGCCAGAATCGAGCGGATGGGTTTACAAAAGGCCTCAGTATTTCTCAACATGGGGAATTTATAAAGCAGCTTGGACTGGAATGATTGGTTCCTTATGTTTTTTATTTTTATTTTTATTTTTTTTACCGGTGCATAGAGGGTTGAGGGTATACCTTTCCCCTCTGAGACAATTTGGTAGGAGGGGTTTTACTGGTGCCCGATGATACCTGGAAGGTATTTTTTTTTTTTTGTTGCTACTTTATTGTTCTTTCATTTGTGTCATTGGTTTTGCCTGTCCAATTTTCGGGTGCATCATTCAGGGTGGAAGGTGTTGAATATGCTGAGAAGCATTCTGTGTTGGGCGGGGGTTCCTTGGCCGGCGGCAGCTGCATGGTGGATTGCACAACTGAGGGTCCCTTAAACTGCGTAGCATTGCGTACATCTGGTGACTAGAATGTATATATATCTGTGATGTTTGTCTGATTGTCCTCGCTTACAACAACATCTATTAAAGAGAGATTCTCTCATCCACCCAGGGATCAACCACCCAGGTATTCGGGGATTTTGGGAATAACAATAATGTCCACAGTAGAAAAGGCCCGTACCCAACGGAGCAATCTGGGATTGTAAGTTTCCGTGAAAAATTGGGTATGATGCCATAAATATCCTATGACGATAACCCCCCCTCATCCCTTCCTTGTCGGTGAAGGGTGGGGAACGGTTAAGAAACGGGCACCCAGCACATCAGAACCTGCACCGCACCGCACCCCTGTCCCGTGGGTGTACTCGGGTACAGTACCAGTACCCGTACTTCACACACTAAAAAAAGAAGGAAGAAGAAAACTCTCATAGCACTCTTTGCGATCACGGGGCGAGAACTTCATTCGAGAGTACATTTAACTGCCCACAACACTTCCAATACCGCGATTGTATTTTATTTTCCAATTTTTATCTTTTTTTAGTTCCGGTTCCTATCCCGCCATGGGCGTTATGAATTTGGACATTTTTCTCGGGGGAAAGCGCGTTGTATGTAGGTGCGGTATGTGTAAAAATAGTTCAGGACGGTTATATTGATGCTCGACTCGGTGTTAAATCCCTCTGTGGTACAGGTACCTCACTTTATTTTGGCGTGCTACGGGCTTGAGGTTTCCAGGCCTGCTTCTGACATGACCGCATGGTGGGGGGAAGGCACCCGTCTGCACTGTTAACGTACCGTACCGGTACTTGATCTTCGTAGTAAGTTATACCGTAGGTTAGGCTGGGTTAGCTAGATATACTATTCGCACTTGGAGCACTCGTACATTGACACAGCGCTGTCCCATACACCACTACAGTTGTATTTGATGGTGGGTTTTATGATACTCGGGTACTGTATTCACCAAAACACTAACAGGCAGACTCACATATCTTCGAACGGGTACAACTGAGTTACTGACTCTACAATTTCGGGCACCATAAAATTGCCAACGTCATAGCCATTCTTGTCTCAACTCATTTTCATTTTTAAACGTTCGATTTGCGATGGCTCCTGATATTGGATGTCGCACAAGAAGGCTTATTACAGCAGGCGAATGGGTTAATGACTGGGTTTGGTGTGGTATGCAATTGCCTTCGAGTATCATACTTGTGCAGTACACACTGGGTAGGGCTCCCGGGACTTTGTGGACATCATAACTCAGATGGCCGGAGCCAGAGCTCCCGTACCCGTAGAATTCTCCTCAAACACTCTTTCCTTGCTAGCTGCCTAGAGTTTTTTTTTCCCGTACCGCTTTGCTGCATTTGATGAAAAACAAAATGTAGAAAATAAAGAAAGAGGGAAATTTTCTGGGGCGATGACTGAAGTGGATAGGTGGGAAGAAGAAGAAAGAGATTTTGTGTTTGACAACATGGTGTATATACTTGTGACATGTGCTAGATCGCACCTCATGCCAAGGGTTCTGATGATCTGCCGTGCTTCTGCGTATCCCTCAAAAGCGGCCATCCCCCCCCCCTCATGAATGTCATGAATCCATTCCACGAGTAAAAGCACAGGTGCTGGTGAGACCACCATACCTTGCTTCCAAACTATTATGACCACCGCTTCCCCGCATTTTACACAAGCTCAAATGCAGACCTAACAGTTCCTCGACGGATCTGGCATACTATCCGGAGCCGGGAGTACTCGAGATCATGGTAGGCGGGAAAGACGCAGTTTCCGGGGATGTCATGTCGATCCTTACAAGTACTTGTGATCATCTGTAGATTTTCCTTTCCCTCTTGTATTACCGATTTGTGCTGTAGCCATCAGCCAGAAGGAGGCTGATCATGCTCCCTGCACTCTACTGTTTGCCGTTTCACTGCGAGTGATTGGGCGTGCTCTAGGGGTGGTGGTTGGTGTGGTGAAGGGAAGTGCGCGCCTTGGCAATATCTGGGGGGAATGCAGTGTAAGGTGCCAGACTAGGGCAAGATTTTGGTCTGGTATTGGTGAGGTTGTAGTATGATACCGTATCAGAAAAGCACCGGTATGTGCTTGTTATTGGCCATTTGTGAGTGGATTAGTCCTGTCAGCAGACGCAGTATGTGATACAAGAGTCAGGCATTTAGTCATGCGACGGTACAGTACGTATAGTACGAGTACGGGTACAGTACAGTGACGGGGATTGTTGGTGTTTATTTCAACACAACCCGTACACAGACACAAGCTACGACAAGCAGAATTGGGGTTGTAAAAAAAATGCTTCGCAGTGGTGCTTCCACTAGTGTATGCATGCTATTAGAAATAATTCAAGCTGGCAATCATATTACTGTGCTTGAGTACAGTACCATGACTGAATGCCTAACCCTTGAGCTGGGAGACGAGTGCGGCAGCGCGGAGGATTTCCATTGTGAAGCACAGTATAGGTAAGTTACAGTACTGTACATTGGACAACCAATTCCGGAAACCCAGACAGTAATGAGAGAAAGAAAGTATTCTAGTGAAATAAACCCCACTAGGCCTCTCACGCCCGAGGGGGAATCCCCTATCGGTTCGGGCTGTGTTATGCTGCTATGTCTGAAAACAGGTACGGTACTCGAGTAGATAACGAGGCAAGATGTTTCCGGGCTGGACGGGGACAGCTAACCAGCAAAATTATTCCTACCTTTTCACGAAAACATCTTGCCTGGTACCGGTACTTGTACTCGTACGGGAGAAATGTGCTGGGTCGTTGAAATTCTCCCTCTGGGATAAGGGTGGGGAATCACCGTAGACTGCCCTCGGTTGATACAAAAAGAAAGTATCATAGGGAAAAATACAAAGCACCTTACTAGGCGTGGCAACTACTCGTGCGACGTCCTCGCACATTTCTCTCGTATTCGAGTATCATACCTAAGGTAATTCATCCGCATTCTAAGGGAAGGTTTAGACTTGGGCTGGATGGATTGGCTTGGGGGGGTCTTTTCCCGTGACCCCAGGTCCCCGCAGCGGGAAAGGTAGAGGGCGTTGTCATGAATACCAGACAACTGCGAGCAGCACGGAAAAGCCAAACCCTTGGCGATTTGTGTAGGATCAAGCTTTTGTTTCATTTCAAACGAAACGAACTTCTATTAATAGAATCCTGCTGTGGGAAAAAAGAGTGGTGTTCAGCTCTCCCTCTTTATTTATTTTTTCCTTGTGCTGCTTTCTTCAATCAGCATTCCTTCCGATTTCTCCCCGATCTTGCTCCTTTCCGCTATATGAGCAAGGCAGCCTACCGGCACGGTAGTCAACCCCCCTCCCTCAGTGCTCATTCCTTGCGCACACATTCTCGGCCTCCATCATCGACATCAACATACACTCTTTCGATCGGGTTATATCCAGCAATCTTTCTCCGATCTCTTCCACACCTATCCCCGCACATCCGGTGCCCTCCGTCACCCCCACTCCACCCCTCCCGTCCCCATTCCCCGCAATGTTCGGTTCATCACCGGCCGACGCATTTGAGCAGAAGGCTCAAAAGCTTCGTCGTGCCGTAGAGCGGGCGCGTGCCCAGTTCTCGCAGAAAACTAGGCCTCAAAGGTGTGTGCTGTGTATTTGTCCGCGCCCTCATGTGCCCCCTCCAACCTTTTTTTGTTCCCCCCACTGCGTCCCTCCTCAACCAACTGCCTCTCACCAAGGAGACGACAGATGGGAGGGGCTGTAGGGAATCAAGGGGAAAAAAGAAAAATCCCATATTTTTGCCAGATCGGAGGACAAAACAAGGAAAATATCACAGCACATGGGCTGCCTAGTTTAAGCTTTGACTACGATTCATGCTAAAATTACCCCCGCGCCGCCTGCCTCCGTAGTGTCAACCGGACATCCGTCGCCCTCACAGGCTCGTATTTCGACTACCTCCCCGTCGAGCTGATAATCGACATCTGCTGCCAAACTGACTGGCGAGACGTTACGCGTCTCCGTCTCGTCTCCCGAGCGTTCAAGGAGTTCGTCGACGCGAACGAGTCCACCATCGCTGTCAGATGGATGGTCCCCGGATCATATCTGGCGCTACTGTCGCAGCTCTTCTACCCGCCAAAGTCTAGGGTAGGAGACGGGGTACGCCGGCCTACGATACAGTACTTTTGCGGATTAGAGAAGCGACATATCACGTGCTCTCAGTTGGCTTATTATCTATGCGACAAGGCAGTTGCGCCCATGTATGGGACTCGGTTCACGATTAATTGGAAGGATAGGGAGGAGGCTAAGCTTAAGAAGGATCAAGCAATTCGGACGGTGCAGAGGAGGTTGACGAAGCAATTGTATTTCCTGCCCCCCTGGAGAGAAACTGAATTTTTTTCCCCTTATTTGTTTTTTCTTGTGTTTCTTGGTCATTATCTGACCGGTTCCTTTTACAAAGGCTGATATGGTTGGGATTTAGGTATTATGTAAGAGCAGTCCCAGACTCTATGTGTTAACTCGTCTCGAGCCAATCTTAGGGCTGCCTCGTAGATTGGGGAGGGGGTAGCGACATAATACCTATCCAACCAACTAACACTTCATTTTAGGTCCTCCACTTTCTGACCTACTCCCGCCTCCGCTTGGAAGCCAACAAAGCCGCCATGGCTGCTGAGAACTCCGACGAGCTGCTAACCCTCAACGACCTAAATAGCGCCTACTTGGGCATCCAATCAAACATATTAACCACCTTCGACAACCAAACCCTAATATCCACGCACCACGCCCTGCACTTCCTGGTGAACTCCATCCGCCTAAGCATGTCCCCGGAGCCCCCGCACAAGCAGAACGATGAACTCGTCGCCATTATCCTCCGCTGCCCAATACCGCTAAACCGCTGTGTGGAATTCTTTGCCGCAGATTGCCCCGGCGCACCGCGCGGGCTGAGGAAACAGTTTATGCAGGATATGGAGGGGGAGAGAGCGGATGCTGAGATCAGGTTTGGGGGAGGAACAGCGCCGAGGAGGAGTAGTAGTGGCCATTCTAGAGAGGCGAGTCGGAGGAAGTGGTCACCGAGAGTTTCCGAGGTTTGGTTTGAGGCCGCGAGGATTGCGTTAGCGGAGAGAGGGTTGCAGGAACACAAACCCGATGGGGTGTATTTCTTTCCGGAATGTAGTCAGGAGCTGTTGATTGGGTGCCCGGGGTGTAAGCTTAAATGATCATGATGTGAGGGGTTATGAAGGGTGGGTCGTGTTGCGTTCCCCCAGGAAACGCGTTTGAGGGTTTAGCTGGGAGCTCGTTTGTTGAGGATTATACCCACAGGCTGTATTATGCCGTGCTCGGGCTATCAGCGGGCGGTTGGCTTCCCTCTTTCCACGGAATATTATGATGAAATAGAGGTTTCACGAAAGGTCACTCTCTTGGGCATCAATCCGGCATTGCGGTGGTATGAGACGGTGGGTAGTGTGGGGAGCAGGGTTAGGATTGTCATGTGGGTATTTTGATGCCCTAACGGTTCTCTCTTGGGGCAAACCGAATATATTTCGATTCTTGTGAGGGATTGCCGGACGCCAGGCCTTGATGTAAGAGCTTTGAGGAAAAAAACAAGGAACAAGAACAGCCCCATGATTTTCACGCACTTTACTACACCATTTAACCGCTAGCTTCTGTGATACTAGCGCAGTAGGTTAAAACTCAAAAAAGTCGTCCAATTCTTCCAACTTCTTTTCCTCCCTTGGGGCCTTCTTCGACTTGCCCTTCTTATCCCGCTTCTCCGCTCTCTCATCCCTTTTCTCCTCCCCCCCAACCACCTCCCCCTCTCCACCACTTCCCGGTTCGACACCTCCCTCCTCTTGATCCTCCCCCTCATCATCAAAACCCATGGTACTCTCCCCCAACCCGCCTCTCGCCATCTGCCTCTCAATCTCCCTGCGAATCCCCTCTCTCCTCTCCCGCATTACCCCCGCATCCTTAAACAAGGAAATGTACTTCTCCCCAGGAGGGTAATGCATGATGTAATTAAGGTCCAGCCTAGCCTCGTAAACTTTCTTCTCTACCTCCGCCTTTCCCACTCCACACCCTACCTTCTCCAGCTCCCTCTCTGCTTTGCGTAATTTCCTTGTAGCTTTTTGCCTCTCTATTTCGCAATTAGCCATCTATCAACCGTACGGGGGGGTGCTGGAAGAGATGGGCGCACCGAAGAACCGAACCATATGATACCGCTTTGCAATACTTCTCACCTTCGCCGCACTCCTCACCGCCGAGAGTTCGGATTGGAAGGCTGATAATGCGCGTTCGTTTTCTAGCCGGACGTCGGCTGGGAGTGAGCTGCTGGGATTATTTAGGAGACGCTGGAGGTCGCGAACTTTTTTTTTCAGGTGGGTTGTGGAGGTCTTTGGTCCCGTGGGGTTTATCAGGGGACGACGCCGACGTTTTTGGTGTCTGTGGTTTTCGGGAGGCATTTTTTGTTTGTTGGTAGAGGTGGAGATGTGGTGATGAAGGATTCTTGCTTGGTGGATAGAGCGTACCGTTAAGTTGGAGTGAGGATGCTGTACTCGAGTACACGGTATGGGTTGGCGTCAGATCGGGAGGCGCTTGAAACGAATTGGCCCGTGGGTTAGGGGTGTGAATGAGGCTTGGACACAACGTCAAGGAGTGGATTAGTGGAGGGCCGTTATCGTGGGGGTGAGGGAGACAACCCCAGTTTGGTTTGAAGGGCGGACTGCGAAAGTGTATGATGGATCGCTACTCTGTCTTCTCTTCCGCATTCCACGTTAAGTTCTCCTCGTGTTGGCCGATCAACCTCCAATGCTGAAGTGACCACGGTCTGCCTAGCTAACTTTCATAGATTTCCTTCTTTTCTTCTAACTTAATAACACCTTACCCCCACCCCCGCGCTCCCCTGGTCTTCCAAATAATTATGGCGGATACCATGAATGAGACTAGTGCCATCGTTCGCTGGTCGCCGCATCCACGGCCGGATAATCAGCGCTTTCTGAAAATTGTTGGTCGGAATAGCAGGGAGCATGAATTAAGCCTTTTTGCTATTTCTCATCAGGTATGGTGTTTTGGGGTGTTTTTCCGGTGATGATACTGATGTGATGGCGATGGCGATGGCGGTGTAGAAGGGTGATGATGCTAGGGACGTCAAGATTAAGCTTGTCGCGAAACATACTAAAGTTCCATTTGTTCGCGTATGTTTCCATGCTCCGTCCAGAGTGCAATCTGTTTATCTATGTGCTTGAGGGAGCTGATCAGAGGGAGGGATAGTGCATCGACTGGTCTCCGCACGATGAGGGTAAGAAATTGCTCCCCGACTGCAATTGTCTCGGAAGCTTATTTCCTTCGAGACGTAGTAGCCGTCGGTCAGCCTAGCGGCGAGGTCGTCCTTCTCAGAATTTCCGACAACACCTCAGTCCCACTAGCTGCCAAACACCAGCGCCCCTGCAACGGGGTTTCCTTCAATTGCACCGGCCAGTTCCTCGCAACAGGTCTCGATAAAGTTCGGAACGACACCTGCCTAAACATCTGGGATGTGAATCAGCGACTCGGTGAACGAGCTGGCCTCATCGGTGAAATTGGAAAACCCCTCCGGCAACTAGCCACCAGCGAAACCATCAGCAGCGTTTGTTTCATGCGAGATGATGCGAACGTCTTTCTCACCGGGATTAACTACAGGGCGATAAAGACCTGGGACCTGAGGGAGCCGCCGAATAATCAGGGTATGTATTCTTCGCGTTGCGCCATTGGGATAACACTAGACCTCGATCCGAACTACTTTGCTTCGTACTCGGAGGATAGTGCTGTTGCCGTGTGGGATCGGAGGTTCATTCGCTACGCCGGCTCTGGGGAACCGGCGTTGAATTTTGTTCGTCCAGCGGATGAATATGGAAGGCCTGGGACACAGATTACGTCCCTACGGTACTCGTGCACTAAGTATGGGACATTTGGGGTTCTTAATTCTGGAGGGAGACTTAGGGCCTATGATACTGCCAAGATATCTGATCAGGACCCGCATCCTGGATCTTCACTCGGACTTTACGGTGTGCCCACAAACGTCCCGAGCGCTGTTGTGGAGCCGGATAAGCGTGGTGGATGGGGCGACTCGGCTGCTAGTTTGCTGGGTGGCGGTATGAGAAGTGGGCCAATTTCCAGAGCGCAGAACAGGAGAACAGATGGACAAACGTTGTTTGTTACAAGGATCAATGATTTAGCCCCAATGCGGGGATCTAAGATTGAAAAGAGAATCGTGAGCTTTGATTGGATGTCTGACCCACAGGGCACTGGTCGGGGGGAAATGCTTCGGGCGTTGTGTCTCAGGGGTGATGGGTCCATAGACGTTATTCCTTCTTCCGGGGTCACTACGAGTCTTGCCTGGGGCAGCAGGAATGGTCTATCTATTACCTCTGGGAAGGACTTGAAGATTCTGCTCTCGCCAGAGGGCCCCAGCACAGACACTTTTGGACCCGATGACGAAGGGCGAAGCGTGGAGCACGACGAGGAGGCGAGCTCTATCGTTAGAAGTCCCAGTGCTAGACTAGGCATGCATGAGAACCAACCAGCCAAAAGAAGTAATAGCGTTGTGCGACGGGAAGACTTCCTTCTTGACCCAGCCGAGGTCCTGCGTAACGACATATGCGTTGTCATGAGGAGAAGAGTAGAACAAGGATACGAGATGGATGTCAGTAGATTGTCTCCGATGCCCTTTTCTCCTTTTCCCTTTTTTCCCCGGTTCTCTACCTGTCCCCTGCTACTGTGAGATAGAGGGGGAGTAAACTAATAAAACTCAGTGTGGAAAAAATGCAGGGTTGACAGAGGATGTTTACCTAAAGAATATGTGGATGTGGCTGCAGGGCGCTTGCGAGTCTGCGAGGAATAATGGCATGGTTAGTGGACTGTTGGATCTTAGTTATATGGGCGTGTTGGGGATATGGCAGGGAAGTTCGGGTATGACTGGCTAGACGTCCACGATCATTTGAAGTCACTGATGTGAGGACAGGCAAGACGCAAGATTCGAGACTGACTGCTGCGAGGCCGTCTATGAGTGACTGGACGGATACAGTTACAAACATTAATAAGAGATGCAAAAGGGACAAGTTTAAGGGTGAGAGCCAGTACCCAGAGCTGAGGGTTCTAGCATTGGCGGTATGTGGGTGGGACTTTTCGGCCAATGAGCTCGATCAGGAAATACGAAGGTATGTTCACCAGATATCACTCACCAGCTGACAAACCTAACAAGATAAGACTTGAGAGAGAAGGCCAGTATGCCAAAGCCGCCGGCTGGGCCCTTTTCCATGGCGACGTTGAACGCTCTATCAAATCTCTCTCCCAAGGCGGACAGCAAATGAAACTAATGTCAACGGCTGTCGCTGGCTATCACTCACACGCCCAATCTGCCCTCACAAGCGCCTCCGCAAACAACTCAAATGATCCAAGCGGCAACATCTGGAAAGACCTCTGCCGCGATATGTCTGTCGAGCTCGACGATCCTTACCTCCGCTCCATCTTTGCCTACGTCTCAAACGGCGACTGGAAAGACGTCCTCGACGACCTCGGGCTGCCCATCCGCGAGCGTCTCGGCATAGCTCTGCGCTGGCTTAAAGACTCTGAACTGACAAACTACCTCGCGGACCTTACCCTGAGGCTCGTAGTAGATGGGGACCTGGACGGAATAGTCGTAACTGGTGTAACCGAGCAAGCTATAAACCTCCTACAAGTGTACATCAACCGCACCGGCGACGTTCAAACCGCATCCCTGGTATCAGCGTTCGCGGTGCCAAGATACTTCTCCGACGACAGGGTTAGCAATTGGCACGATAGCTACAGACATCTCCTAAACTCCTTCCGGCTCTTTCATGCGCGTGCGAAATTTGACGTCGCGAGGGGCAAACTATCCCGAAACCGAACCGGCGCAATGACCATCGACGCAGTGCAGCGGCAAGTATATGTCCGCTGCGCAAACTGCGACAGGAGCGTCTCGCAGATCAGCACCACAACACACCACCACCCCAACCACCATCACCACCACCACCCACACCACCCACACGCGCATCCCCAACACCCCTCTCGCACTGGCACCTCCGGCGGTAGCGGAAATTTGTCCCACACCGCCCCCGGTGCGTCCCCTACCAAAGCCACCGTGTGCCCGCACTGCAAAAAGTCGCTGCCCAGGTGCGCGGTTTGTCTGCTAAACCTCGGCACGGTCGCGTACAGGAAGGTTGCTGTCGGGGTAGGCACTTCCGCTGGAGGAGGAGGGGCTGAGAGGGAGACAGATAGAGAAGGCGATTATGATCGCTGGTTTAATTTTTGCTTGGCGTGCGGGCATGGCATGCATGCCGGGCATGCTAAGGAGTGGTTTGGACTGAGGAAGGTGTGTCCAGTGCCCGAGTGTGGGTGCCAGTGTAAGATGTGATGTGTCTCTTTTCTTTCTCTTTTGTACCCGGCTGGTTGCTTTATTATGAGGGAGGATGGATGGGTTACTGTAGTTTAGGTACCATTTTTTTCCTTCCTTTCAATTTTTTTTAGCGAGGGGTTTGCCCTTTTCTTTTGTTATGCCCGACAAGCTGTGTTTGGCTGGGTCGTATACCGGCAATGGTGCATCGCATAGTATCGTAGCGGAATCCGTATTCTTACCAGAACTCCATGCCTATATTACTTGTGACCCGGCCTGTCTGTCCGCCCCGCGATGGCGAGTGGGAGGCGAGCCTACTAACCCCTTCCTTTTTTTTTTTCCTAATTTTCTAAGGCCCTATTTGGCACGCCAGAAAAATGACATTTTACTCACCCCTACGGTATTTTTTTTATAATATTATGGAACATTATTTTTTATGCCATTTTTCACGGTAAATCACTAGGTAAACACAGCAAAAAAATAAAAATAAGATAAAAACTAGCCTATCATGTTGGATAGGATTAATCACACCACAAAGAGCTATCACAAGTCCAAGAAAAAAACAGTACCACGATTTAGGGCCCATAAGTCGAGCTAGCATCACCTTTACCAAGTTCTTATTTCATCTCTATAAATGTTGAAGAAATGGAGGTGATGTTGCCAAACACCGTTATTTGAGCCTACGCTAGTTAAATGGACTTTGGGGACCCAACCGCAAAATAATTTATTTTTGTCTTGTCACCCTGCTCGGCGTGCAAAGTGTATATGATATCATACAGCAGCTCGGAAAATATTTTTGAAGCTTGAATGGCCTCTATAACTTGACATCTTCTAGAGACAAAAGAGAGAAACTTGGACACGTGGCCCCGGGGTTGCAAAGCGTTTTCCCGCTTTTTCGGAGGAAGCAGACGGGTGTCGGGGTTTAACTGTTGCGGGTTCATTTTTTTATAATATGGTAGCGTGCCAAACAAGGACTGGGGGGGGGGGGGGTTTGGACCATCGTGCTCTGGTCGTTTGTGCCGGTGGGATACGGCCCGAATCGGGTGTCTTTGGTTAAACTAGGTTGAACTGATAGCAAGATGTTTCACTGTGCGAACATTTCAATCGTGGCTTACACCCATTCAGTAAATACATCACGTCCTCCATCACCAGCCTCATTTCCTACGGATTAATTACCACCAGAGCCCTTTTTTTTTTACCCCTCCTCCCCGCTGCCCTCCCTCGCTCGGATGGAGTCTGGAAAAAAGTTAGTCTCCAGCGAGTGATTATCCATGATCATGGATATTCCGGAGCACTCCTGGTGGGAAAGTCCGCGAAGGAGGAAATTAACCGCTGGGATCCACGGGTGTCCATCGCTGTGTATGGGGCGGGTGTGAGTTTACACGGCAAGGGTGGCTTATGGTTTTCGGTGTTACTTCTTAGGAGGTGTACTGATGTTTCTTCCTTCATAACTTAGACAGGATCTCAGGCCTTGCAGTCGGTCTAATCAAGGTAACGGCTACGGGACCAAGAAGAAGGAGGGTACCGACGCGGAGTTGCAAGCAAGAACGCTAATGTCCTCAGTGAGGGCTTTTACCCGTCCGTGTATACACGTATCAGGGGAGCCTGGGGTGAAATGGATGTGGATGGGAGGAAAGGAAAAAAAACCTTAGTTAACAGGTGGTCTGGGGGTAACTGAGATGGCAAAGTAGATCTAGCACGGAGAGACTAGAAGGGGATGCCTGGACGGCGGGAGACCAAGCATAACTAGAGACGGCCGGTGCGGTGCTCGGGGAGTCTGGTGGGATCACCGAAGTAATTGAAGGGCAACGGAGAATTCGGTAAATTCAGGCTGTACGACTTAAACTACAGGAGCTTGCCAGCCCTCGGATATGAAGGGTGGGGGGGTATATACCTTGCAAGAACAATTGAGGGTGGGTGCTTACTCAAGGTTATAATTTTCCAGGTGCATTCCTTCGAATCCCTTCTGGGCGCACGCCGCAGTTCGTGGTCCATATTGGTAACTTGGGGGCTTTTGTCCTTGAGACTAATCTTGTCAGTACCTGGCCTTAGTCACGCTTCCGACTACATAATCTGTTTGGGGCGCGCCTGGATTGTTGGCTGCCTAGTTTTTTTAGCCTCTTGTAACTTAGTTGTTTACCTTCAATTTATCGCTCTGTTGCTACCACAATTGCAGCGTCCTGGTCGACGGACTCCACTTCATTTCCCCCATTTTGGATGGCCACTCATTTGTTCTGTCTTGTCTTCTGCTCCTGGGATCTCTAAGTCTTGATTGATGGGATTCACGAGTTAGTTTCGGTCACGTGAGATAGTGAGCGAGGGAGGCCGATCGCGAGAACGTCGGTTGTTGGTTATCACAGGCTGGTCTTGTCGGGATTGATGTCCTTTCCATCAAGCAAGTCAATGTTGCACTAATACATCAAATTCCCAAGCCATAATACTGCTATCTGGCTTTATTTCACAATTCAGTCCTTCAATTGCTTGCTGAATTCGCGTTTCTGTCTTGAAATAGGCTTCAGCAGGCATAATGGTGTTGCTGGTGGAGGAAAGCTTTGCAAGGTTATCTTGTATTTCGGGCATCTTCACAAAATCGGGCCGTTTGTATGGGGACTAACTCAAATTGGGGGAGAATTCAAGGGATAATCGGGGAAGATTCTAGTGTTGGCCAAAAGACTGGTGCGCTCTGTAGCTTCCACCTACCGGTACAATAGCTGTGTTGCGGCTACCGATACTACCGCACAGCACTGGGCGGCTACAGCCAAGCCCTGCAGTACCGTACCGTTATCACCTGCATGCTTACACAATTACTCGTGCCTGCACCATAGCCGGGTAAACCTTTTGAATACCATGCGCTTGGCGGTAAAACCTTCCGGATACTATCCCGCGGGAAATATAAATTATACGAAGTAATACCATCGAAGAAGTGAAACCTTTGTGAATAGTTACCTTACCTTCGGCCCATCACAAAACTGTGAAGAAAAATTCAAAGAAATAAAGTAAAAATAGTAAAAAATAGGTGCAGTTGGCTTTTGTATTTTAGAATTTGTTACCATCAGAAGGCCTTTCAGTGTGTTGATATACTGCTGCTTAAAAGTGGTATGTTTCGGTGATTTGTTGTGCCAAGAATTCCAGGAAAGATTGCGAAACTACCCGACCCAGTGACCCACTTTCCACCAAAAATGCGTAGAAAAACCCCAAAAAGATATCAGCAAAGCTTCAAGTAATTCTTCCTTTCTCCTATGTTCTTTTTCAATTTGTTTGCATTGTCTGAGGAGTGAAAAAGCGAGCAACAGAGCGTCAGTGTTTTACCGCCAAGCGCATGGTATTCAAAAGGTTTACCCGCTACTTTGTCGTTTAAAATTTGTCAGTAAAAATCTCGCCAAGATGTGTTGAGACAATCCATATTACCTAGTCCAGCATATTAAGAACCCTTTTTTATGTAAAATACATTTCTCTGCACCTGTTGTGTCTCCAGAAATTCCGAAAAAAATTTCAATAAATACCTCTGGATCAGGTTAATTTAGAAGGAAACATCCAGAATTTTTCAGACTTTCCAAAGTTGCATTTCCCCACTTAGAAGTTGAAGTGTTATTTTTTTTTTTTTTTGGCCGTGAGTGAAACCATGCTTTTGGCTAGCATGAAAAAACATTGGTGGTATTCTACAGGGACGGTCCGGGATTCGCTGGTATTTTGCAGGTTTTCCCTAATACGTGGCGGTCGGCATGCCCATTCCGGGCTACCCAGGGGAAACATTGCAAGTTCAGCTGTTGGTTAGTTCTGATAGGAGAGAGGGAGGAGTTGCAAGGCCCTCTCTCTTTCATATTCTGTCAGGGCTCTACAGAGGACCGGTTGAGCACCCACACGTCTTCAACGGACGGCGGGAACCGGTCGGTGAGGAGGGAGTTTGATTGTTTGGTAGGGAGAAAGGAGGATCAATCAGAGCAGGGTAAGAAAAGAATCCCTGTTCCCCGATTGCACCCGCCACCACCCTTTACTATGACTGTCAACCAGCCCAGTGAATTCCCCGAACAAAATCGCCATATACGCAACAAAAAGGAAAGAGGGAAATGAAGGCGCGAGTGCCCGCCATCCACTTGAGTACCGGGGCAGCCTAGGTAATTGGACAGAGTGGTATCGGGAGGACGAGAGGCGAGTTCGTCATTCCTGTTCGAGCGTGATGGAAATTCATTTTCACACGCGGGCCACAACGGAGATCTGTGGCTTTCCTAAATATTGTGGTTTCTACGACGAATATCAGGGGTTTCGGTGCCTATATTGATGATTGGTAAATTAATCGTACTTCTCGATGATTGGGTAAATTAATCGTACTTCTCGATGATTGGTGAATTACTTCTTCGTCCAGGGTTCAATATAGTTGCCCGATTCGCTGAGGTTTGCAAAAACCCCTGCTCCTTCATGGGGGGCAGGGAGGCACACCTTCTTTTTATCTTGACACTGCACTCACACCCCGTTATCCAGGTCGGCCATTTTCTTTTCTAGTAGATGCACTGGATTGGCTTCTATGGTTTGCTTTTTCCATTTCACCTTATGTTAGATTTCTTTTCGCCATTACTCTATGCTCACCATCCAACACCAAGGAGCTCCCTGCCCTAGTTCAGGACACCAAGAACCGACATCTCACTCACCTCCTGTACGTTTGGTACTCGGGGGGTGCAGTTAGTCGGGCGACACCCATACACAGCAACCACCATACGGGCCCATACAAACCAGTTTTTTTGTATGTGGAAAAAAAGTTGGGCGACACCCAGAATAGGCAATAAACTGAGACATTTAGGTACAACGTCGCCTCACTTACCCTTACCCCCGAGTACACTACCGTAATACATACAAAATAGTCCATCCTCCATAAATTTGTAAGCTCGTTCCCTCCCCTCAAAACGCCCATCATACCGTCCTCAACCAATGTTCACTTTATCAAAAAGGAGAGTTCGTAGAATTAAAGAGGAGACGGTTTTGAGTAGTACTATATAGAGTTCTTCTCAATAAATGTTGTTGTTGTCGGGTCCGTTGCTTGTTAGATTTGATAGTGGCGGGAGTCTATTTCAGACTTCCAGCACCGTACTCAGCACATCAGGAAGTCGGGAGTGCCAGGTGCTACCACCGTGTATCATACCGTACATATGAACATCGATGGACTCTTACGTGGCTCTCCTGTTGCAGCTACGGGACACGGGGGCATAGCTAAGGCTCAGTTTTGATCCGATATGATGCTAGGCGCATAAAGTGGCACCCGCCGCCGGAATTCCGGCTCATAATATCATACCAGTTCCGCCGAACCTCCCGTTTTTCAAAAGGATAGTCCCACCCTTCCTACGAAAACACTCCAAACCTCTTCGTCCTAAAGGGCCCCAAGGAAATACTGATTGACCTCAAGATGCCTTCCACATTTAGTCTGTCTGTTTGCACCGGGCTCAACCTCTTCTGCTGCTTCAGATCCGCCGACAGCGCGAATGAGCCCGAAATCAATTGGCCGCCCGCAAGAGTTACCCTCGGGCCTTGGGAAAGGCCGACCATGCAACTAGCGCCGGGCCAGCTTACGACCTTTACGGCGGCTCGGATTCCTAGCGAACTTCCCTCCACGAGCAACGAGGCAATGGGTCGGGGTTCATAGAAAGGATGGTTTATTTCTTGGTATGTTCGGCTCCATGATACCGCCGCGGGTGAAGGTCCCATTATCGGAGGCGATCAGCGATCAAGGCGCTTTTACTAACAGTGTGTAGGGGCGGGTGAAATAGATAGATAAGGGGATAGTGCCGCTGGCTTGAGTTGTCTGGGGGAGGAGGATATTGTCCGGGTGCCGCTAGCCTTGTTTTCGTTTGCATTGTTTGAATTATCTCGGGGTGTCCGGAGTGGTGGGGGGTCTGTTTTCTAAAAATCCAAGATGTTTTTTCCAGTGAAACCCTAAGTCAGATTATGCGAGTGATCTATGGTGCATTAATTGTCTCGTGGGCATCATAACTAAGCGAGTGCGGACGCGAGGTGACGGTTCCAGTGATCTACGGTACTCACCATCGTCTATCGGCCTCAACTTGGACCAACGAGTATTTCTGGCTGTGTTACAATACCGGGAGCGCACGTGCTTTCATAAGGCGTTGCTGTTGCGGCTGATCAAGCAAAGGCAAGTGGGATCGGTGTCTTCTGCCGTGCCGGTATCGGTAGAGCGACGAAAATTTCGCATACTCGTCCCCCGAAAGAAGTACCCGAAAACAGGGATTAAAGAAATATATGGTAAAATGTCTGTGCGTGTCTGAGCGCCTATACAAAATATACCCCCCCTGTTTCCGGGTACGGTACTTCTTTCGGGGGACGAGTACTTGTATGGCCCTCCATGCGGTAGATAAACATCGTATCATCCGGCTACACTACAATGGATGACCATGTGGAAGTCTCGAATGCTAAACTCTTTTTTCACCGATCTTTTTTGTCTGGATAGTAGGCGATATTAGAATAGTGGCGGAGTCATGGGGTGGAGCGTGGATGCTAGGAGCATGGATCACTGCATACGGTAATTACGATTGCATCACAGAACTGATAGCAATGTTTCGTGTGAGCTGCTTCCCCTGGGGAGCAAAGATTCATCTCAAAGAAGCTCATTGGTAGCAGGAGAAATATCCATATCCCAATTCCCTCACCGCCCGACAAAGTTGGCAGAAATCCACACCTCCCTTGGTTATTTGCGACCTTCAACCATTATGCCTATTATTTTCATTAGTAAACCCCACACATCGCCCAATCGCAGTAAAAACCAGCGCAAGAACTCACAATGATACCTACTCAGCAAATAGTCAGTCAGCACGGCACCTAGAGCACCCCAACACAGCGAAGGTGGACCCACCCTTCACTAGTTTTCACGGCCGGATTTGTATAAACCGGCCTATCAACCGTAGACACCGCAAGGGCATACGCTGCGTCCTCAAACGCCTTGAGCAGAGACCCGCGAGTCTTCCACCCCAACGATCCTCCCCTGACGTGCCTTGTCTTCGCTGAGCTCCCTGGCAACAGCATCGAACTTCTCTCCATTCGCGAGTCGCTCAAGGACGGTTTCCATCTTGCTGTGCTTCTCGCAGAGGATGTGACGGACGTTTATGGAGCTTGCGGGCTTGAGCTTGTCGGATTTGCTATCGCCCTTTGTAGCCTTCTTGGAGGAAGAGGAGGAGGCATCTTTGGACTTGTCTTTGGAGTTGCTGCCTTTGTTGTTGGATTTAGTGTCTGTTTTTGATTTTCCCATGGCTACTACGGAGGAGGGGGGTTGTCGGGAGTAGGATCGGCGGTGGGTTCTTGGAACAAGTTAGAATAGGGTGCGCACGGTGTTACCCGGTTTTCTGCATGGTCCTGGCGGAGGCTTGGTAGAGGGGCCCCGGGGTATGCTATCACTGGGATGTATGATAGAATATCACTGGGATGTATGATAGAATATCACTGGGATGTATGATAGAATACCGGTATGATAGAATATCACTGGGATGTATGATAGAATACCGGTACGATATTTCGGGTGCAAAACCTCTACCCGAGTACAGTAAAAGTAATTCGAGAGTCTCGGGTCGCTGTCACCAGGCTGTGAAATTTAAATTACGGTGCTCACTGGAGTTGGCTTATGGGGTAAGTTAGGTTTAGACCTTGCAGCGGCAATACGGTAGGCTATCGCAGTGGTCGCTCGGGGCCGCTGGGTTACTCTTGTGCTGTTGCAATTTTTCGGATTCCTATGACTGGGGCCCAACAATGGAGGATCCGGAAAGACAGCGAAGCACTTGTCCGGCGGATAGCCGAGAAAAAAAACAAGTGGTTCCCAATTTCCTTCGGATACATACATATGTTGTGCAGCTGGGGTACTTGTAACGTATCATGCGCCATGGTGCGCTATCTGCAAGTTTGGTCCAAGCAATTGATTGAATATTGATTGAGTTTTGAATAGTGGCTAGTATTCGGGTGGATGGCTCTCGATGCCGGGCGCTCGCTGATGCGTGGAATAATGGTACGTTAAGTCTTTGACTAGAGCTGAGCTAGAGGCTCGACTCGTAAAACCCCCATTTGATGCAACTCCAGTTTTCCCCGGTGTCGCTGCTTCCTCTCAACCATTCTTGAGCCACCCAGGCCTTGGCAGGTGTACTGTACAAGTGTGATGCCAAGGGATCACCGGGAGACGTGAGTGTTTTGGGGACAGAGCAATGTCTGCTCTATTTCATAAACCCTTACCAATATTTATGTTCTCTATTGATATCTGTATCTTGATTATGCCATTAGGTTTGTGAGGTGATTATTGAAAATGTTGGTAACTCTGGTGCTTGTCTAAGAATATAAGATAGCAGTGTGAGTTGAACGCAATATAGTATTAAACTGTAAGATAGTATTCCCTGCTTGCACTATTGAACTAAGAGTTAACTTAGAAGAATGAATTTTTAATTGACTCAGAGTTTATTATTAGTTTAGGGCCAGAACTACTCGCATACAGCAACTAATGTTATGGCGAAACAAAAAGCCTACAATGGTAGAAGAACCATTGTAATGTGTTTGCACCGGGGTACTAGTTATGCTTCCGGGTACAATAGGAGTAGGGCACAAGTTGATCTACAACCTATGGGTGTACTGCGCTAAGTGAGGCGTTGGGGGAAAGATATAAAGAATAGGGACTTGAAGAGGTAACCGTTCAACCAAGTATATTAGAAATACTCAGTCCGTTGAAGTCTGCTGTTTTTTTGAGGAAATCAGCAGTCTTTAAATACATGATTTCGTCCATGTCCTGCATGGGCAAGTTCCCTAGTATTCCTTACTCAAACCTGCAAACAAAACAACTGAGTATTAAAAAAAATACTCAAAACCACAAGTAAAACAAACTGAGTATCAAAGGATACTCAAAACTACAAGTAAAACAAACTGAGTATCAAAGGATACTCAAAACCACAAATAAAACAAACTGAGTATCAAAGGATACTTGAAACCATCAATAAAACAAAACATAAAACAAATCCCTGAACCAAACAGACTAAACTCTAGTTCCGGTTACAACTACACTGTAAAAACTCAAAAGTAGAATTCAAAATCCCAACTACGAGAAATAAACTGCCCCAGAACCAGTGCTAAACCCAAAGAAAACCAAAACCTAGGGAGTCAAACCCATAAGTCATACCCAACTCAGGAACTTAAATTATATCCTGAGGGACACCTGGAGACAACACTGTAAACCCTATTAATCTAATCTTAATACAGCAGGACAGGGGGCTGTATAGACCCAGCAGCAGAGACAAGAGAATGATTCTCAAGGATCAGACAAGTGAAGGCAAGCAGAGGTAGAAGACAGTCGCAATCCAGAGCCAGGAAACTGGAAAAAAAGTAGTCCAGGGGTAGAGTAGCAGTACGGTACTGGCGATAGGGGAGGTGAAGCAAGGGCCTGTAGGTTTGAAGGGGTGGCAGTAGGGTGCCGGCCATGTGGAATAGCAGTAGGGTACCAGCCAGGTAGTAGGATACCAGCCATGTAGTAGTAGAGTGCAAGTTGACTAGCCACATCCAAATTTCCAAACACTGCTGGTGTCTTACTGCCTCTCTTATGTAGTCTCTTGTTCAACAAGAGATCATATCACTTAGTGGAAGGGATTCCACCACAAAGCAGAATGAAAGGGTTGGGAATCAGACTACCAATAACCCAGACAACTACAACTAGGCTGACTGAAGTAGGGGCCTCCCTAATGAGTGAATGCTAGTGGTGGTGGAAAACCTAAGAGAGATTCAAAGGTAGCCTAAGAGGGAGGAAGGTAAGGACTGAGTAGACCTAGAGGCCAAGTGGGATGGTTCAAGTACCCTAAAGGGAAGGTAGGGGTGGGGGTCCTCCTAGGAGGGAGCAAAAGGAGGATAGGGTTTATGATGATTTCACGTGGTATTGAGATTTCAATTGCAAGGAAAATAGCAGAGAGAGTAGATGTATTAACTTAGGAGAATTTTTTAATTTTTTAATTGACTCAGAGTTTATTATTAGTTAAGAGCCAATACTACTCATATATAGTAACTAGTAAGGCTATAACAAAACAAAATACCTACAATGGTAGAAGAACCACACTAAAAAAACCTAAAAAAAGAACCCAAAATCCTAACTTGTTAAGAATCCTACCAAGTAGGACCGAGCGACAGGTAACGATACTTCTGTGGGTGTGAGGTGATAGTTCTAAGGCCTATGCCTACGCGATTGCAATAGTCTAGTCCGGTGACTACTATATTGTTCGCGCCTATCTCCTTATTCTTCTCTTCAGTCCTCGCTTGGGACTTAATCTCTTCTCGTGGGAGTAAAGACAATTCTTGGGTTTCTTAAGATAAATCTTAAAGAGCGTAAAGGTAGGTTTTATTGATGATAACTTAAAGGTAAGAAATAAACTAGAAGAATGTGTGAAGAGCTAATACTAGGGGTCCTAGTGACCCTTTATATAGTAGCTCTTCACCTGGCGTGACTCATACTTATGTGTTACGCGAACCTTGTGACTCATAACTATGAGTCGCGCGAAATCCATCAGCTGACTCCTATGAGTCGCTGCACAACATGCCTAAAACCAATCAAAATATAATAACCAAGTCAGGTGTGCAATTCGCGTCACCTGAGTGAAACCCATGACTCATAAGTATGAGTCATGTGCGAAAATCATACTATCATGTGACTTACAACAGTAAGTCACGTACAGGTAAACATAATAACCTATGGCGCACTAGTGTGCGTCATGTGGAATCCCAACATACCTATAGCTCGGAATTGCGAGCTATGTAAAATCTGCTTTGCTTAGTCACAGTTTGTAACATTAGCTCCTCTCTCCCTCAGCCCGAGTCCCATCGGGCTTACATCAACCTTTCCTCCAATCCTTATGCCCTGTCCGCTGCCAGTCCCTACTTGGTTTCCTTGTTCAACCAAGTGCGTACCTTCCGGACTCTCGTCAGGGCCCTTTCTGCCTCCTTCTCTTCTTTTCTCCAGTCATTCTGGAGTGCCTTCCTTATCCTCGTTTCCTCCCTTAGCTCGCTCTGGAGTTGTCCTATTTTTTCTGCCTACCATTCCATCACTTTCTTTGTTTCTGCCGGTTCCGCCAACAATTTCATTATTGTGGTTTCTGGTTTTTCTTTCTCTCTCTCTTCCTCCCAGGAGACATGCCGCACCTTCCTGGGTCTTGCCCATTTCTGTTTTTTCACCCCCCTCCTCTTTGGCTCCATCCTCAGAGTCGGTTGGATGTATTGTACTAGAGCCACTGGCTCCGGGGTCGGGGATCTCATTGGTGATCCCAGGGGTGAGGTCTTGGGTGGCTATCTGTTCTTCTCCCAAGGCCAGTATCCTGAGCCCTCCTTTTCCGTATAGTGCACTTGGCACTCGTCATCATAGCAACCTATCCATGACAGGTTCGCGTGTTCCCTTTTTAGGGTCGTTTTCTTCCTCAAATTGAGGTCTGCTAGGTTGGTCCATTCTTCGTTGTTCCATTCTTCCTTGACCGGTATTGGGGTACGATACCCTGGGCTGGTTGGAGTGATGTGTTTGAACGCGTCGCATTCTGGGACGTTCTGGAGGGCCGACGGTATCGGCATCGCACCTCTCCTCTGGGGATATTCCCAATGGTAGGAGTCTGTGCCGTGTGGTATGGGCGTTATATGCCCTGAGCTGGGTATGTCTTCGACTGTTGGCTGTTGGTTTGTGTGGGTATCGTTGGTAGAATTGGTGGACTGCATTTTGCACGTGTTCGAAGTTTTCGGCTGGTTAGCAGGTTTTATCGTGTTCGGGAGAGTCTCCAGTCCACTTCGCTCTGTATTGCAAGCAACCGTAATGTAATCGAGAGTTGATAATTTCTTTGAGTTCGTATTCTGATTCTCCGTCTATTTCGATAGGTGGTGGTGGGTTTTTTTTTTGAGATGGTAGAGGATTGTCTTGATAGGGTTCGAGGAGGCTGATGTGGAAGGTGTTGTGTATTTTCATTGACGGTGGAAGGTCAAGCTTATAAGCGCGGCTTTCTATTTTTGCCAAGATCTTGAATGGTCCTATTTTCTTGTAATCCAGTTTTTTCGTTGGTCATGTGGTTTTGATGTTCCGTGGCTGTAACCAAACCATATATCCTGACTTTAGGTTTGGATCGGATTTTCTGTGGCGATCGTTGTTTTCTTTCTGTCATAATTGTGCCATGACCTTTTCAGTTCGTAATATGTCGTGTAATTGATTCATCTCTTTTCTGTCCGTTATCTTTCCTTGGAGCATATGACCTATCCTTTCATGTT